ATGTGTATAAGAGACAGGGAAGAAATTAGTTAATTTTATTTCCTTTTAAACAGAGAAAATATAATATATAAATTTAAAGTGCAAACTTAATCTTAAACGATATTGAAAGCGTCTCACCTGCCTCATGTCTCATGATCCTCCAGACATCGAGGATGTTACGACCAGGTACCTTCACCTCACCTACGTCGTCCTTCTCAAACGCGTGGGCGTCGGATTTGGAAAACATCTGCATGTGCGGTACCTTCGAGATTCTCATTGGAAAGTTGCCGAGGCCAAGGTGAAACGCGCGCTGAAAAACGTAGCCCCACGAAAGCGCCTCGACTTCCCAGCCAAGTAGAATGTCCGGATTGTGTCGCTCGATCAATTTCACAAGGCTGTCGAACGCGTCCCGTTCCGTTGCGACGTATAGGATTGGGCACATCGCACTAGCAGAGTGGATCTTGTTGAGTCTTGCGCTTACAGAGTCAGAATTTACAATTATGGCGGCTAAAACGAAAAAAAAAAAAGGATTTAATGTGGACAATTTATACTTCAAGATGTTTTAAAGTGTTCAAAAAATGTTGAGTTCCTTGATTCCCAAAGCAAAGTTTTGAAGATATAAAATATTTATAACATAAGATTATGTTAATAATCACCATGTTCTATCTGCTCCTTGGCGTCCGTCGGGGCGTCGTTGTGAATCGCGTAAAATAAAGCGGCGACAGAGTCGTACTGCGGATCGGGGAGCAGATCTTCCCGGGTAACAACGTGCACTTCGAGGGCCAAGGACGTCAGGTACTGATGCTGCGGAAAATTTGAAGAGGCGTGAAATAAACCCTTGGATCTGCCAAGCACAAGTAGAATTAAAATAGCGCACTTACTACTGTTACTGCTCTAGCTTTCTGCAGATTCTCGTTCGAGACGTTACCGTAGCTCCCTTTGGATGAGCATTCGATTTGACCGTATGAAACGCCTAGCTGCGTCTTGTCCTGTTTATGTAGCAACGGATTTTCCAGTGCTCGTTTTAAGGAAGGGGCCAAACTGCTCTCCGATATCAATGATTTTTCGGAATTCTGTGACTTCCTGGACTCGTCGGACGTTCCGCTCAGCGCGAGTTTTTGTTGAGGTATCGGCGAATACACGTTCGAATCGTTATCGATTAAATCATTTGATGCTCCCGATTGAGGTTTAATCTCTTCGGCATTAATCTGTGGATGCTGCGCGTCTTGTGCATTTACCGCGTCTTTCTTGTTCTTTTGCTTGCACGACCTGACATCGGAATTTTTTGTCGACATGTACTCTTTAGCTCTGATCCAATCCTTAACGTCCTTAGGAGACGGTGGCTCCACAAGTGGTTTAATCGTTAGCGAGTTATATCCCGCGAGCGTTCGTTTGATGTGATGTGACTTTATACTCGCCCCGGACGGATGGAATTCGTTGACCTTCATTCTCCGCTACAGTTTGATACTCGTGACGTCGTCCAGACTGGATTTGAACGCAGGCACGTCGAAGCACATCGATGCGGCGTGGGTGTTCGAGGATTCCTTCAGTTTCGCGAGATCGAGCTTATTACTGAAAAACGGTGTTTGCGCTCTACATTTCGGAATGCCGTACATCGTCATGCTCTCCAGGATCCTCCGCGGGCTGGGAGGCTTGTACCTCGTGGTAATTGTGATTATCGCGTTCGACGAGCGACGGGCGCTACGCTCCAACGACGAACTTTGACTGTCGCTCTCGATCTTCTGATTGAGGTGCTGGGTGAAGGTCATGTTGCACGCATCCTCCTCGTCTTCGTCGAGATCGGTTTCGGGAATGATGTCGTCGTGATGAAGTTTCGCGGACTTTTTCGCCAAGTTCCGTACGTCTGACGCGTAGTTTCTTTCGGGAGATGCATCGTTAACACTCCTTTCTGTACACTGTTTGGGACACTATCGTTACTGTTCTCATCGCCGGGAACAAGCGTGGTTGCATCCACGTGTCCTTGATCACTCGAATGCCCAAGTGCGATTAAAGATCTTTCAGACTGGCTTATGTTATGACTTAACTTTGCAAAAGCATCTTCTTCTTCCAAGAAAGATAATCTTTTACGAACTTCCTTGTTCGTTTTAATCAACAAATTTTCATTATTTTCCATTCTCTCTTCGGGATCTTGTAGTGATTCGCAAATCGTTGTCGTTTTATCAGCTTTTACGCTACGAATTATATAACAAAAATTACTTATATGATTTAAATGATTAAAATTTTCTTAACTATATAATATAAACGAATCTTACGCAGTATCTGTTTCATTGTTAGTATTATTATCAGTGCCATCGTTTTCTGAAAAAGAAAGAAAAAAATAGCTTTTACTTACATATAAAAAATTAAAAAATGAAAATATTATTAACAAGATGTCATAAAATAAAAAATCAAAAGTATGTCACGTTTTATTTTTACAAAAAAAATTAATTTCACAAGTATAATAAAGCTCTTGAATTACCTAGATCCGAGTTTAAAAATTTTTCACGAAGCAAGCTGACGCGTAACGGGTGTGTCTTGTGTTTCGGCGTAGTGGAAGTCGACGGGCCATCATCGGTCGACGCGTACTGATTTCTTTTCGGAGATTCGCACTGTCGTACAGGGCTCCTATTGGATTTCGGAGATGTAACGGTAATGTGAAGAGGCGAGTAATATCCCGACAATTTTGGACTCCGTGGCGACCTGCCTGGAGAATTGTATTTTCTTCTCGGCGTCTTCACGTCCACGTTTCTTCGTTTACCAGGCGACTCGTGCTCGTCGCCTTCGAATTTCCTTTTCTTTGGCGTGATCTGAGCTGTACACTGCGGCACGTTCTTTTCACCGGATTTATAAGTGCATACGAGTTTCTCTTCTCTCACGATTGTCACGTCAGCTTCAGCGTCGCTCGAGTCGTCGGCCGTAGCCCCATCAACACTCGTCATTGTAAAGTTCATTGAAACACAGTTTGTGATGCAAGTAGTGACTGCTATTTAAAGGGACTCTTTCTTGAACACACGACTTGAAATCCTGTTCACAATTACACTTGTTTTCCTCATAAATCGTTACATAATTGACGTGTTCCATAGTTTCAAACGTTTCTAACTCGTCTATATCATAAACATCCAAATCCCGATGATCTGGTAA